AAACACGTTCTCCTCCCAGCTGTACTCGGCTCCCGGGAAACACAAGCTCTTTTTTGCCGTGCTCGCTGCGCTCTGGTCTCAGAAACACACTGTCCCTGGCCTTTCCCCTGTCTTCGGTTGTCAGAAACACGTTCTCCTCCCAGATGTACTCGTGTCCCGGGAAACACAAGCTCTTTTTTGCCCTGCTCGCTGCACTCTGGTCTCAGAAACACACTGTCCTTCGCCATCGCCGCTGTCTTTGGGTGTCAGAAACACGTTCTCCTCCCAGATGTACTCGTGTCCCGGGAAACACAAGCTCTTTTTTGCCCTACTCGTTGCCCTCTGGTCTCAGAAACACACTGTCCTTTGCTGGTCTCACTGTCCTTTTCTGGTTTCAGAAACACACTGTCCCTGGCCTTTCCCCCTCTCTTTGGGTGTCAGAAACACGTTCTCCTCCCAGCTGTACTCGGCTCCCGGGAAACACAAGCTCTTTTTTGCCCTGCAAGCTGACCTCTGGGCTCAGAAACACACTGTCCCTGGCCTTTCCCCCTGTCTTTGGTTGTCAGAAACACGTTCCCCTCCCAGCTGTACTCGGCTCCCGGGAAACACAAACTCTTTTTTGCCCTGCTCGCTGCCCTCTGGTCTCAGAAACACACTGTCCTTCGCCATCGCCGCTGTCTTTGGGTGTCAGAAATACGTTCTCCTCCCGGATGTACTCGTGTCCCTGGAAACATAAGCTCTTTTTTGCCCTGCCCGCTGACCTCTGGGCTCAGAAACACACTGTCCCTGGCCTTTCCCCCTGTCTTTGGGTGTCAGAAACACATTCTCCTCCCAGCTGTACTCGTGTCCCGGGAAACACAAGCTCTTTTTTGTCCTGCTCGTTGCCCTCTGGTCTCAGAAACACACTGTCCCTGGCCTTTCCCCTGTCTTCGGTTGTCAGAAACACGTTCTCCTCCCAGATGTACTCGTGTCCCGGGAAACACAAGCTCTTTTTTGCCCTACTCGTTGCCCTCTGGTCTCAGAAACACACTGTCCTTTGCTGGTCTCACTGTCCTTTTCTGGTCTCAGAATCACACTGTCCCTGGCCTTTCCCCCTGTCTTTGGCTGTCAGAAACACGTTCTCCTCCCAGCTGTACTCGGGTGCCAGGAAACACAAGCTCTTTTTTGCCCTGCTCGCTGACCTCTGGGCTCAGAAACACACTGTCCTTGGCCTTTCCCCCTGTCTTTGGGTGTCAGAAACACGTTCTCCTCCCAGCTGTACTCGGGTGCCAGGAAACACAAGCTCTTTTTTGCCCTGCTCGCTGACCTCTGGGCTCAGAAAACACACTATCCCTGGCCTGCCCCCATGTCTTTGGGTGTCAGAAACACGTTCTCCTCCCAGCTGTACTCGGCTCACGGGAAACACAAGCTCTTTTTTGCCCTGCTCGCTGACCTCTGGGCTCAGAAACACACTGTCCCGGGCCTTTCCCCCTGTCTTTGTGTGTCAGAAACACATTCTTCTCCCAGCTGTACTCGGGTGCCAGGAAAAACAAGCTCTTTATTGCCCTGCTCGCTGACCTCTGGGCTCAGAAACACACTGTCCCGGGCCTTTCCCCCTGTCTTTGTGTGTCAGAAACACATTCTCCTCCCAGCTGTACTCGGGTGCCAGGAAACACAAGCTCTTTTTTGCCCTGCTCGCTGACCTCTGGGTTTGGAAAACACACTGTCCCCGGCCTGCCCCCATGTCTTTGGGTGTCAGAAACACGTTCTCCTCCCAGCTGTACTCGGCTCCCGGGAAACACAAGCTCTTTTTTGCCCTGCTCGCTGACCTCTGGGCTCAGAAACACACTGTCCCTGGCCTTTCCCCCTGTCTTTGGGTGTCAGAAACATGTTCTCCTCCCAGCTGTACTCGGGTGCCAGTAAACACAAGCTCTTTTTTGCCCTGCTCGCTGACCTCTGGGCTCCGAAAACACACTATCCCTGGCCTGCCCCCATGTCTTTGGGTGTCAGAAACACGTTCTCCTCCCAGCTGTACTCGGCTCCCGGGAAACACAAGCTCTTTTTGCCCTGCTCGCTGACCACTGGGCTCAGAAACACACTGTCCCTGGCCTTTCCCCCTGTCTTTGGGTCTCAGAAACACGTTCTCCTCCCAGCTGTACTCGGCTCCCGGGAAACACAAACTCTTTTTTGCCCTGCTCGCTGACCTCTGGGCTCAGAAACACACTGTCCCTGGCCTTTCCCCCTGTCTTTGTGTGTCAGAAACACGTTCCCCTCCCAGCTGTACTCGGCTCCCGGGAAACACAAACTCTTTTTGCCCTGCTCGCTGACCTCTGGGCTCAGAAACACACTGTCCTTGGCCTTTCCCCTGTCTTCTGGTGTCAGAAACACGTTCTCCTCCCAGCTGTTCTCGGCTCCCGAGAAACACAAACTCTTTTTTGCCCTGCTCGCTGCCCTCTGGTCTCAGAAACACACTGTCCTTTGCTGGTCTCACTGTCCTTTTCTGGTCTCAGAAACACACTGTCCCTGGCCTTTCCCACAGTCTTTAGGTGTCAGAAACACGTTCTCCTCCCAGCTGTACTCGGATGCCAGGAAACACAAGCTCTTTTTTGCCCTGCTCGCTGCCCTCTGGGCTCAGAAACACACTGTCCTTGGCCTTTCCCCCTGTCTTATGGTGTCAGAAACACCTTCTCCTCCCAGCTGTACTCGGCTCCCGGGAAACACAAGTTCTTTTTTGCCCTGCTCGCTGACCTCTGGGCTCAGAAACACACTGTCCCTGGCCTTTCCCCCTGTCTTTGGGTTTCAGAAACACGTTCTCCTACCAGCTGTACTTGGGTGCCAGGAAACACAAGCTCTTTTTTGTCCTGCTCGCTGCCCTCTGGTCTCAGAAACACACTGTCCCTGGCCTTTCCCCCTGTCTTCGGGTGTCAGAAACACGTTTCCCTCCCAGCTGTACTCGGCTCCCGGGAAACACAAGCTCTTTTTTGCCCTGCTCGCTGCCCACTTGTCTCAGAAACACACTGTCCCTGGCCTTTCCCTCTGTCTTTGTGTGTCAGAAACATGTTCTCCTCCCAGCTGTACTCGGGTGCCAGGAAACACAAGCTGTTTTTTGCCCTGCTCGCTGACCTCTGGGCTCAGAAACACACTGTCCCTGGTCTTTCCCCCTGTCTTTGTGTGTCAGAAACACGGTCTCCTCCCAGCTGTCCTTGGGTCCGTCACAAGGTCTACTAACGGCGCGGCGTCCGCCAGGGTCTCGCGTCACACAGGCACAAACCATGGCCTCTGCCGAGGGAGACATGACGCGACAGGGCTTCACGGCCACACAGGCCCTGGAGCAGATGGTGGCCTCCGAGGACGAGGGGCCCGAGGAGGACGTGTCGGAAGAGGAGGACGGCGAGGAGTACGACCCGGACGTTGCGGACGCCGCGGCAGACGACGATCGCCCGGGGGACAGGAGGGCCGACGGCGAGATCTACCTGTCGAAGAACGGCAAGATCGCGTGGTCCTCGGTGCCCTGTCGAGGCGGTTGCAGGACCGACGGCGCAGGCGGCGGCGGGAGCGTGCGACATTGCCTCGGCGTTCAGCCTGTTCATCACGCCGCGCGTGGAGGCGATCGTCCTGGAGGCCACGAACCGCGAGGGCTCTCGGCCCTCGCGGTTCTAAAAAAGATAGTAAAAACAGATGGACAACGGTGAAACATGCGCACATTGTTGTATTTCGGCCTCCTCTTTTTTGCAAAACTCTTGAGGGCTGTGAAAAGAGATCGAGGGTCACTCTGACCCGCTGGACTGGGGCTTTGTACGCGACGCGAGGACAACGGCGGGGTTAGGTGCCGAGGTGGCGAGTTCGAGCCTCGCCCGGGCCAGTGGTTTTTTACATCCTCGCCGATAAATACTAATAAGGGTAGTAATAATAGATGGACAACGGTGAAACACGCGCACATCGTTGTATTTCGGCCTCCTCTTTTTTGCAAAACTCTGAGGGCTGTGAAAAGAGAACGAGGGTCACTCTGACCCGCTCAATTCGGGGTGTGTACGCGGGTCGCGAGGACACCGTCAGGGTTAGATCCCGGGGTTGTGAGTTCGAGCCTCGCCCGTTGCGGTGGTTTTTCTCACACTCGGCGATAAATACTAAAAAAGATAGTAAAAACAGATGGACAACGGTGAAACATGCGCACGTTGTTGTATTTCGGCCTCCCCCTTTTTGCAAAACTCTGAGGGCTGTGAAAAGAGATCGCGGGTCACTCGGACCCACTCGACCTGTGGGGTGTACGCGACGCGAGGACAACGGCGGGGTTAGATGCCGAGGTGGCGAGTTCGAGCCTCGCCCGGGCAAGTGTCTTTTATTAGCCCTCCCAGATAATTACTAATAACGATAAAAATAATAAATCGATTACAGGGAAACACGTGCACGTTGTTGTATTTCGGCCTCCTCCTTTTTGCAACACTCTGAGGGCTGTGAAAAGAGATCGAGGGTCATTCTGACCAGCTCGACTCGGGGTGTGTACGCGATGCGAGGACAACACAAGGGATACAGGAATAAAGGATTTTCATAAAGGCGCTGCTGAGATTCGAACTCAGGATCTCCTGTTTACTAGACAGGCGCTTTGACCAACTAAGCCACAGCGCCGATACGTGCAACAATCTTTTAGGGTTTCGAAAGCAAAAATGTATCTTCCAGACCATGAGACAAAATACAAGAATAAGCCATTTTCAAAAAGGCACTGCTGAGATCCGAACTCAGGATCTCCTGTTTACTAGACAGGCGCTTTGACCAACTAAGCCACAGCGCCGATACGTGCAACAATCTTTTAGGGTTTCGAAAGCAAAAATGTATCTTCCAGACCATGAGACAAAATACAAGAATAAGCCATTTTCAAAAAGGCACTGCTGAGATTCGAGCACAGGATCTCCTGTTTACAACACTGGCGCTTTAACCAACTAAGCCACAGCGGCAATACGTGCTAATAATCTTTGAGGGTTTCGAAAGCAAAAATGTATCTTCCAGACCATGAGACAAAATACAAGAATAAGCCATTTTCATAAAGGCACTGCTAAGATTTGAAATTTAGGATCTCCTGTTTACTATACAGTAACTTTAACCAACTAAGCCACAGCGCAGATACGTGATAACAATCTTTTAGGGTTTCAAAAGAAAAAATGTATCTTCCAGACCATGAGACAAAATACAAGAATAAGCCATTTTCATAAAGGCACTGCTAAGATTCGAACTCAGGATCTCCTGTTTACTAGACAGGTGCTATAACCAAATAAGCCACAGCGCCGATACGTGCTAAAAATCGTTTCGGGTTTCGAAAGCAAAATGTATCTTCCAGACCATGAGACAAAATACAGGAACAAGCGATTCTCATGAAGGCACTGCTAAGATTCGAATTTAGGATTTCCTGTTTACTAGACAGTCGCTTTAACCAACTAAGCCACAGCGCCGATACGTGCAAACAAATCTTTTAGGGTTTCGAAAGCAAAAATGTATCTTCCAGACCATGAGACAAAATACTAGAATAAGCCATTTTCATAAAGGCACTGCTGAGATTCGAGCTCAGGATCTCCTGTTTACAACACTGGCGCTTTAACCAATTAAGCCACAGCGCCGATACGTGCTGACAATCTTCTAGGGTTTCGAAAGCAAAAATTTATCTTCCAGACCATGAGACAAAATACTAGAAAAAGTGATTCTCATGAAGGCACTGCTAAAATTCGAGCTCAGGATCTCCTGTTTACCAGACAGGCGCTCTAACCAACTAAGCCACAGCGCCGATACGTGCTGACAATCTTCTAGGGTTTCGAAAGCAAAAATGTATCTTCCAGACCATGAGACAAAATACTAGAAAAAGTGATTCTCATGAAGGCACTGCTAAGATACGAACTCGTGATCTCCTGTTTACTAGACAGTCGCCTAAACCAACTAAGCCACAGCGCCGATCCGGCCTAACAATGTTTTAGGATCTCAGGATCAGGCACTGCTGAGATTCGAACTCAGGATCTCCTGTTTACAAGACAGGCGCTTTAACCCTCGTGTTGTCCTCGCATCGCCTACACACCCCGAGTCGAGCGGGTCAGAGTGACACTCGATTTCTTTTCACAGCCCTCAGAGTGTTGCAAAAAGGAGGAGGCCGAAATACAACAACGTGCACGTGTTTCACTGTAATCGGTTTATTATTATTATCGCTACTAGTAATTATCTGGGAGGGTGAAAAAAACCACAGCCCAGGGTGAGGCTCGAACTCGCCACCTCGGCATCTAACCCCGCCGTTGTCCTCGCGTCGCGTACACAGCCCGAGTCGAGCGGGTCAGAGTGACCCTCGATCTCTTTTCACAGCCCTCAGAGTATTGCAAAAAGAAGGAGGCCGAAATACAACAACGTGCGCGTGTTTCACTGTTATTGGTTTATTATTATCATCGCTGTTAATAATTATCTGGTAGGGCAAAAAAAAACACCGCCCCGGGCGAGGCTCGAACTCGCCACCTCGGCATCTAACCCAGCCGTTGTCCTCGCATCGCGTACACACACCCGAGTCGAGCGGGTCAGAGTGACCCCTGATCTCTTTTCACAGCCCTCAGAGTATTGCCAGAAAAGAGGAGCCCGAAATACAAAGACGAGCGCGCGTTTCACGGTCGTCCATCTATTATCACTGTCTTTATTAGTATTTATTGGCGAGGGCGAAAAGAAACACAGCGGGGGATGCCCTCGTCCGGGGCCTCTTCATCCTTCGTTTCTGAGACCCGAGGACAGCGGGCAGGGCAAGAGAGCTTGTGTTTCCCAGGACCCGAGGACAGGGGTAGGAGAACGTGTTTATGAGACCCGAGGACAGGGGGAAAGGCCAAGGACAGCGTGTTTCTGAGACCCAAGGACAGAGGGGAGGGCAAGAGAGTGTCTGGGAACTACAAACACGCCGCGAGTCTCCAGCCCTGTCCGCAACCATCAGTGTCCCAGTGACCCTAGGCTGCGTAAGGGGTTACCTAGGTTGACCCGAGGACGGCGGGAGTGAGGGGGAATCCTACGCTCGGGTCGCCAGGACCCGAGGGTAGTGTGAGGGATAACGGTGGCACGGCAACGATATCATCCTCTGGTGACAGAAATGTGTAGTGTGTGCATGAAAAATAAATGCAAAATATTTGGACAATGGACCATTCTGCTTCCCAGGGTTGTGTGCTGTGGATTGTAATTAGACGTTGAAGGTTTACGCCTGTTCGACGTCTAAGATCGAACTGTTTTCAACATTGAAAAGTAGGACAAGATCGACCTGTTTTCAATGTTGAAAAGTAGGACAAATCTGACGTCTTTTCAATTGTACATGCACCCCATGGAACGAGAGAATAAACTGACCCAGATCAGATAGAAAGAAAGTAGAGGCCGAGGTGGACATAGCGATAAACACTGTTTCAAGATCTATAGCAAGCTTAGAGGCCAACATAGCTCTACTCAAGCGGAGAGGGCAGAGAGAGTGTGTTTCCTAGCAAGCTTAGACGTCAACCTAGCTCTACTCAAGCGGAGAGGGCAGAGAGAGTGTGTTTCTGAGAACCGAGGACAGCGGCGAGGGCAAATGAGCTTGTGTTTCTGAGACCTGAGGGCAGCGGGCAGGGCAAGAGAGCTTGTGTTTCCCGGGACCCGAGGACAGCGGGGAATCTGACTTAGACCGGTTGGATATTTTGGGTAGCCAAGCACACTCTAGGCTCCCCACGCCTAATCCGTATCATTTTCTCAGTGACCGGGCTGGGGTGAACATCTCCCGAATCCGTGTACAGTACCTCGGGGGTTTCGCCACTTTGGCTTAGCCTGGCTGGACACTTTGGGTAGCCTGCCTACTCTAGGCTCCCCGGCCTGCCTTTATTTCACGTACACGTTGCACAACAACATCACCAAACATCATGAATGTGAGAGTACAAAAACATCACCAAGCTTTATTTCACTTACACATTGCACAAAAACATCACCAGACCAATGTGTGAATGCTCATTGCGGTGGTAGTCTCAAGCGTATTATCAGTGGTAACCTTTCAAACCTTGCGTATCCATCCGGTCTCTCAAGATACCGTATCATTCTCAATCGTCCAACCGGAGAGGGGTCTGTCACACTGACTTAGACCGGTTGGATATTTTGCAATCGTCCAACCGGAGAGGGGTCAGTCACTCTGACTTAGACCGGTTGGATATTTTGGGTAGCCTACCCACTCTAGGCTCCCCAGCCTGCCTTTATTTCACATACTTGTTGCACAACAACATCACCAAACATCATGAATGTGAGAGTACAAAACATCACCAAGCTTTATTTCACGTACACGTTGCACAAAAACATCACCAGACCAGAGTGTGAATGCTCATTGCGGTGGTTGTCTCTCACATATTATCAGTGGTAACCATTCAAACCTTGCATATCCATCCGGTCTCTCAAGATACCGTATCATTCTCAATCGTCCAACCGGAGAGGGGTCTGTCACACTGACTTAGACCGGTTGGATATTTTGCAATCTGTCAGAGTTCCCCGCTCTGGACCTGGGTAAAGTCTCCCTCTGGTGGGTCTGGAGAGGTTGGCATCTGCACGCACCTGTCACCATTCCCGTAATCACACACCTGCACCAAGTCTTCAATCACCAGGGTATAAGAGGGAGAGCCTGACAACCAGC